GTGAAAAAAAAAAAAAAAAACAACAACAATAGCGTTACCACTCTAATATGTCTTGCACTATCCGTGCGTGCAAAGGTTCTGCGCGATCCTCTTGTTCAATATTCTCTGGGTCTGATTCCGGCTCAAATTGATATGGCAATATTGACATCCTTAACTAAACTTGCTGCTTTGGCAAGGGGCGGGGCTGTACTGAAACACCGTCTAAGCTGTTCGCCAATCACAACGCACTGGAACAGCTAACCAATCACATCACATTTCGTTTTTCGGAAGGCGGGCCTTCATCAAACCTAGAACTAATTGAGCCGTTTGTGCCAGGATGGGGAGAAAGTCACGAAGTGTAGACATTGTGAAAGATTCTTTGTGCATATGTTCATTGTGTTATAACAGAGCTTTATGAGATAGTGATGAACTGAGATGTCAGCTTTTAGAGATAATAAAGGAAGTGCTGCTCGCATTCTGCCATGCCAAACCATGCACGCAGCAGCCCATGCTTGCTTTTCTGTTAAAAATAACAGTGGTTTGTGAATGTTGATGCTTAGCCTAAATAACAAATATTTTATCGGGAGCATTTATGCTGGGATGTTGTGGATCATAGGAGATGTTACAGAACCATTTAATGTAAATTTCTTTGATGTGCTGAAAAAACATCTATATAGATTACTTTTATGCGGGTTTTTGCGGGCGGGAGAGGGACAAAAAATGAATGTCGCGGGCGGGAGCGGGACCAGATAAGATATTTTTCTGCGGGAGTGGGCGTGGGAACAAATCTTGTGGGAGTGGGACTGAAAAATCCGTCCCGCGCAGGTCTCTACTTCACACCTCAAAGAGCTTTTTAAGCTTGACAACAAACACCACCGCAGCAACACCAACAGAAATTCCATTACCTGCCTCTTTCTATTCTAACCCACCTAATCCGATTTCATCAAAACAAAGCAGAAATAAAATACATCTTACTGAAAAAGGTCTTCAGTAAAACCTAATAATAAAAAAAATCAATCTGGTGCACAAACAAACACACATTAGACTTTACCTAAAGCTGTGGCGGGCACTGCATAAGATGGCGAAGTCATGGGCAAAGGTGATGCCCGCAGCTGGTCCTGCTGCCCCGTGAGGGCTGGGTAAAGGGGCAGCACGCCCAGGGCCTTTCCCAGCATACGAGGCCCCAAACTCAGCACCCGAACCTTTACATCCCGATAGCAGTGGTTGATCATGCGCAGGTGGACATTCACCCGGGTGGTGATGCGGATTAGGCACTTCACCATGTTTATCTCCAAAAAGTGAACGTCTGCAGCTGCCGAACTTCTTCAGAGAGCATGTGAACAAGTATAAACCCTGTTACTGGTGCCCTACTTCCACCGTGGGCTGCTGGGTAAAAGCTTGACTATGCTGGTAAACGGCAGAGTAGGCACCCAAGACAGTGGTGGCAAATCCTACCCCACCCAGGCCTCTTGCCTCCTTCCCTCCTCCAACAGCCAGTGACTTAAATGGCGAAAAAGGTCCTGTCTATTTTCAGATGAGGGTATTAATACTCCATGAAGACTCACAGTCAGCACATGTAGGATAGTTGACTTATCCTCCCCAGCTCTCTGAGCCGATCGCACAACAGACAAGAGCTCCTCACAACATCTTACGATGGTCTTTTCTGTGTTGAATCACAGTTTCAGAGAGGATATAGTGACCAGAGACTTAACTACACTGTCTATGTATAGTGTACTCATGTTAAGAGTGGGCAGTGCTCTGTTGTGATGCTAGTCTACTGTAACAGTCGGGCTCATTAGATGAGACCCAGAATGAAGGGGTGGGCAGACACTGGTAAGCCTGGGATGGGTGGGTCAAGATGGCACAGCTGGTGACACATCGAAGTGTTAGTACTGACTGTTAACAGCTGGCACAGAAATAGAGTGGTGTGACTGACAGGAGCACCTGCATCTCCACTCCTCTAAGTGACGGCCGGTTCAGCCTCATATTACAGCATTCGGTCAACTTTGGTGAGGGCATATGTGCGTAGTGTGTAAAAAAAATAAAAAATGATATATATATATATATATATATATATATACACGTACATGCATAATAAAAATATCTAAAGCTACAAAAACATGCTAAAATATTCCCTACAATAACTTTCATTAGAGTGTTATCCTAAAGTTTTCACGACTTCTTCAGTGCCTTTATATTGTCTTAATGGCATAAATTGCCCTCTTTTTAAAAATTATAAGTAGCTATATTACAAGTTGGCTGTTTTCTACAGCATTTTGATGATATTACAAACCATTGAGTGCTTTGACATGTAGTGCTCTGTCTGTGGTTTCAGAGTTTCAGCGTAGAGCTGAACTCAGGTTAATGGGTTGAACTGGACTCTCACCTTCCATGATGGATATGTGTACGGCTCTCCGGCGGGTCCGCGGGACACTGCTCAGCCGCGGCCCATGCGTGATGGATGGACAGCTTCTGCTGGGCACCAAGCCAGCCCTGTGACCACATACACACTCAGTACTGTATCAACACACCCATTTATCACATTACAGTACATCCTATAACTACAGACATCAGTCAGTCTTACTGGACATGCATGCATGCATACAAAAAAGATGCCACCAAAAGAATGTGACCCACTGTAAGCAATTATACAGTTAATAAAATTGCAGTGTGAGCAATTATACAGTTAACTGATGGGCACTCATGCATACCTGTGTATTTCTGGAGGTTCCCGTTTAATTTTTGCACTCTGTTCCATTACCTCTTTGGCTACTCTTCCACTGAAATGAAACAAAAACAACTGGCGTGTCCAGTTCCCCTTGCTAGAGTGAAATATTTTGGCATAATTTCCCTTATCAAACTAAATACCCATAAATATGCAACTGAAAAGATGCATAAAGACCTCTTTAAGTGGACCAAAACAAACCTTGTTCTTTATTTATACTGTAACCAAAAACTACAATTTATATATTATATTATATTATATTCAATGGAAAAATAGTTTCCATTGTTATACAGATGATACTCAACTATATACTTCAACAAGACCAGATGAAACTTCTAAATGATCTAAGCTAACAGAGTGTGTTCAAATTTAAAAGATTGGGATGATACTCAACTATATATCTCAACGAGACCAGATGAAACTTCTAAATTATCTAAGCTAACAGAGTGTGTTAAACATTTAAAAGATTGGATGACCAATAATTTTCTCCTATTAAATTCGGATAAGACAGAGATATTACTTATTGGACCAAAAAAAAACAGTACACAGAATCTCTTGGATTATAATTTGCATCTAGACGGATGCACTGTATGGAGGACGAGAAATGACTTAAGTATAAATAAATAAATAAATGAATAAATACGTAAATGCAGAATGAAATAAATAAATAAATGTAGAAATACATAAATGAATAAATAAATATATGAAGAAATAAATATAGAAATACATAAATAAATGTAGAAATACATAAGTACATAAATAAATAATTAATTAAATGCTGAAATGTAGAAATACATAAATGAATAAATAAATAATTAAATGCTTAAATAAATAAATGCAGATATGCATAAATGAATGAATGCATAAATAAATAATTTTGTCAAAACTGTCATTTTTAATTGTGCTATTTTTGTACCATTTGTGTTATACTACATTTTTTTTCTACATTCATTTATGTATTTATACATTAACATGCATTTCTGCTTTTATTTATTTTTACATTTATTTATGCATTCCTACATTTCTACATTTATTTATTTCTGTATTTCTGTGTCCGTATGTTAATAAGGTAGGCGGTCCTAACCTCTCTCAATGCAGGATTGGTCAATTAGGCAAACCAGTCAGATCAACCGTCAAGACGAGATAGTTAGCCTTCTAACTATGGCTTCGAATGGGAGACCACTTGCTGAATCTTCATGCTCACTTGAACACTTGGGCCAAATACAGGAAATACGTCATATAAGTAGTCAAGTGGTCAAGTGCAAAGACCGCAAGTGTGGGTATTTGGACAAGGCTATTGTTAGAATTCTAACTATCTGGTCTTGACGGTTGATCTGACTGGTTTGCCTAATTGACCAATCCTGCATTGAGGGAGGTTAGGACCGCCTACCTTATTAACATACGGACACAGAAATACAGAAATAAATAAATGTAGGAATGCATACATAAATGTAAAAATAAATAACTGTATAAATACATAAATAAATGTAGAAAAAAAATGTAGTATAACACAAATGGTACAAAAATAGCACAATTAAAAATGACAGTTTTGACAAAATTATTTATTTATGCATTCATTCATTTATGCATATCTGCATTTATTTATTTAAGCATTTAATTATTTATTTATTCATATTTATTCGTATTTCTACATTTATTTCAGCATTTAATTAATTATTTATGTACTTATGTATTTCTACATTTATTTATGTATTTCTATATTTATTTCTTCATATATTTATTTATTCATTTATTTATTTATTTATACTTAAGTCATTTCTCGTCCTCCATAGTACTGTTACTTCTTCCATAGTCATCATATCAACTTGTCTTTTCAAAATCACATTTCACATGTTACAAAAACAGCATTCTTCCATTTTAGAAACATTGCCAAGCTACGAAACATGTTACCTGTTTCTGATGCAGAAAAGCTAGTTCATGCATTCATGACCTCTAGACTGGACTATTGTATTGCACTGCTAGGTGGTTGTCCTGCATCTTCAATAAACAAGCTACAGGTAGTCCAAAATGCAGCGGCTAGAGTCCTTACCAGGTCAAGAAAATATGATCATATTACCCCAATTTTACAGTCTCTGCACTGGCTACCTATTAAGTTCTGTATTTGGCTCCCAAACTCTGGAATAGACTTCCTGATAACGTTCGGGGTTCAGATACACTCTCTCTGTTTAAATCTATATTAAAGAAACATCTCTTTAGCCAAGCATTCACATAATGTATCTCATAACCTTGTACTTCAATTATATCTGATCAAATGCACATTATCATTCTTTGCTTGGTTTGAACACGTTATCGTGTTTTACTTGGTTTGAACAGCAGCTATGCTAATATTTCTCTATTTGCTTCTCCGTTTCTGCCACGGGATGGGCATCCTGAGGTAACTAGAAATTACACAAGCTTCAGTCTGGATCCAGCCCTTACAAAGATCTGAGATGACTGAACACCTGAGAAGAGATGATGCCAACCCTTCCGAGGACCTCAGATGACGACAACCCTGAACCAACATACAAAACTACCAAATTTTGCCATAAGTTTGATCGCGACATATAATCATTGCTGTTAATAGTGTTTGTTTGAATACATGTCATTAACTAACTGCATGATTTTTACTGTGCATTTCTGCCATATGGACATCACCTTGACAGTCACCACTGATAAGCTACTGTATATTGTATAAATTTGTATCATGAAAAGCGCTATAAAAAAGTAGTATCTAAAATTCTCTTTGCATTTATACTGTAACCAAAAACTATTATATCAAAAATATATCTAAAACAAATATCTAAAATTCTCTTTGCATTTGTACTGTAACCAAAAACTATTTTATTATATTATATCAGAAATATCTCAAATATATCTAAAGCAAATATCAAAAATTCTCTTTGCATTTATACTGTAACCAAAAGCTATTTTATTATATTATATCAGAAATATCTAAAATATATCTAAAACAAATATCTAAAATTCTCTTTGCATTTGTACTGTAACCAAAAACTATTTTATTATATTATATTATATCAGAAATATCTAAAATATATCTAAAGCAAATATCAAAAATTCTCTTTGCATTTATACTGTAACCAAAAGCTATTATATTATATTATATCAGAAATATCTAAAATATATCTAAAACAAATATCTAAAATTCTCCTTGCATTTATACTGTAACCAAAAACTACATTATTATATTATATTATATTATATTATATTATATTATATTATATTATACCACAAATAGTTGCACAACCATGCTAAAATATTCACTAACTGGAAATACGTTACAGGTCACTCGTTCCAGTAGCAGGCAGATGAGCAAAACTACCTGCATACGGTCTATATACGGCTGGTGGTGGGTGTTATTTTCAGACCCTGGTTGAGGCTGACCAGATTCATCTAAAAACCAACCAAAAGAAAACAGCTCAGCCATTGAGGATAAAACAGCCACATTTCCAGTCACGTTCAAACCATTGGCATTTTGGTGGGAATTGTGATCCCTGTGACTGTGAGAGATGGTGACCGCTGCTACTAGAGTACATGAAGCTCAAGAATTAGATTAACCTTATTGAGTCCCCTCTCTTAACTCAATCTCTGCCTCTCAGGCTGTGGCTGAACTACTTCTCTTTAAACAAAAACTCTCAATGGAGTCCTTCAATGCCTTAAAATCCTGCCTGTCTCCTTACATAGGAGTGAGAAAATAACTGTTATCAATTTCCTAATGAGGTGTTTGAGCCTGAGAGCCCACTATAATAATTGATCGTGCTGTTTGTTTAATTGCCCTGATGGCTCCATTCATCAATTACAATTACAGTTACAATTGCCGTTATTAAGTAAACATCTGTGTTTAAAAGGTGGCCTGTGTGAACAGCTCCATCAGCAGGTTGTGGTGCATTGGCTCCAAAGCAAGTCACCTCTATGTGTCCGTGATGAGGACAGCAGGCTGTTTTTGGAGCAGGGACCCCTGAGGCTGTGGCGGTCCATCGGCAGTGACCCGTGCTGTGTCTGTCTGTCTGTCCACACTTACCTGTAACGAAAACGACTCCCCTTGAAGAACAGGTTACTGCTGGACACCATACGAACCTGGCTCGACTTCTCCAACCTGACGAGGGGCCGAGAGGAATGATTAATCTCTAAAAATGCCCATTTGTGACCCTGGACCACAAAGCCAGTCATAAGGTTAAACCCCTGAGGCTGTGGCGGTCCATCGGCAGTGACCCGTGCTGTGTCTGTCTGTCTGTCCACACTTACCTGTAACGAAAACGACTCCCCTTGAAGAACAGGTTACTGCTGGACACCATACGAACCTGGCTCGACTTCTCCAACCTGACGAGGGGCCGAGAGGAATGATTAATCTCTAAAAATGCCCATTTGTGACCCTGGACCACAAAACCAGTCATAAGGTTAAATTTCTCGAAATTTAGATTTATACATCATCTGAAAGCTGAATAAATAAGCTTTCCATTGATGTATGGTATATTTGTTAGGATAGGACGATATTTGGCCGAGATACAACTATTTGAAAATCTGAAAATACTGAGAAAATCGCCTTTAAAACTGTCCAAATTAAGTTCTTAGCAATGCATATTACTAATCAAAAATTAAGTTTTGATATATTTACGGTAGGACATTTACAAAATATCATCATGGAACATGACATATCCTAATGATTTTTGGCATAAAAGAAAAATCTATCATTTTGACCCATACAATGTTTTTTTGGCTATTGCTAAAAATATACCCCAGCGACTTGAGACTGGTTTTGTGGTCCAGGGTCACATTTGTGAAAAACAAAAAGTCAAACAAAATAGCTAACACAACTCACTATTTCTAAACTACACAGTTTGAGTTAAGAATAAATTCTCTTTTAACTCTTTTAAGCAAAAATATGACATTGCTGTCATCAATTGTTCAAACTTTCTAATATTCTTTAGTTATTTTTGCACAAACAAGTATTTGGGGTTCAAGATACAGATACCATAAAAAACATCACTCCAGTAGAAGTATACATACTCCAACTTTATTTGAGTAAAAATAACAAAAGTACTTGGTTATGAATGTACCCAAGTATTAAAAGTAAAAAGTACTGTACCAATTCAACAGGTTTATTGAAAAGAATCATCACAAATCAGACATTGCTATCGCGTGGTGAAATATTAAAGTATGTTGTTAGGCTTTAAAATGTAGTGAAGTACAAGTTTCCCAAAATAAAAAAGATACTTGATACAAATACAGATAGAAAAATGTACATAAGTACAGTAACCAAGTAAACATTTTGTTCATCACTGGTTATATTATGGCAAATCTGCAACTAGATATCTGTGAAAAACACGTTTCTATGATTGGTGTTCTATGGTCGACTATATTAGCTATTTATGAAAGAAATGCTGAAAGTTTATTTACAAATGTTAAAATTTAAATAAAATTTAATTGATGTGTGGACTCATGTTTGTGTATATTACCTACAATGCATGACTTCAAATACCAGAATTTCTTCAAATTTCCAATATAAATTTTACAATCTTGTTTTTAACTAAAAATTACATAAATCTGGCATTTGTGCAAAAAAACTGCTTTACATTTATCAATTGTTATGAAAAATCTTATTTCTTAGTTTGCATTCATGAACTTCCAAATTAAGAAATAAAATTACCTAAATGTGATGAACTACTTTTCAATTGTATTTAATTAAACTCAGTTGTATTTAATTGTTTTTTTTATATATTTTAAGTATTTTAATTAGTCTTTAAAAAATAAATATATAATTAAAAGTACTTCATGTAAATTTGTTGAACTCCAAGCAAAACAACCGTATATCACATTACAGTTAAATAAAATTACTGCAACATTTTTCATAAATCAGATTTTGTGATATCACCTACTGTACCCCACTGACATGCTAAAAGAAGTTTTATTTCTAAAGCTAGGACATATATTCTAACCTTCCTAGTGACTGAAACCTCAGGCAGAGCTTGAGTGTTCTGACTCAGACGGTCTCTGGTGAACATTTGATTCAGGCTTTTCATCACCAGGTGTGGAATTTCCTTCCCCAAAGACAGCCTTTATGTGAATCATAAAACCCACTTTTCAATTATCATCTGCCTTCACCTGCCACAAGTTCTCCTTCTCTAGGAGACTTTAACTACAGCTACAAATTTCTCTTTGCCCCAGCGGAATGAATTCAGTCAGACTTAGAATACGATGCAGATTCAGTTTTGATAAGGCGCCTTGCCAAATCAGTGATTACACCATTCCCTTCACCTAAATTGAGCTTTCCCACACTTCATGATGAGTCCTGAAACAGACTTTCGTTCCAAAGATGTTGCCTCAGTCAGCCAAAATCGTTCATCATAAAACAGAGACAAAAACCAGCGGTGGCTCGCAGTGTTGTGAAACAAACACAGTGTTGTGCGTAACACTGCGGTCTGCCTTGAGCTGTACTGTCACTATAAAAACGTCCAATGCTGAGGCCAAGGACATGTACAATCAACCGTGACTGAAATGGGCACGGACATCCCTCCGGAGGAGCTAGCAGAACGCATCTCTCATTGCTCACGCAGTAAAGGTCATTCTCAACACGTGGCTGTTCCATTAGATGACCCCCGCGAGGTAAAAACAGTGACGGCATCTAGACGTAGGTATCCAGACGACACTTGCAGAAGGGTCTTGCATTATTAAAGCCCTATTCGGACAGGACTAGTTTTCCAGTTTGTCATTAGAGAAATGTGTGTTTCACAGACGTACTTTGCGATTTTAATCCTGTCCGAACCTGCCAAGTCTGTGTTTTTCTTACACGACCTCTAATAATTCCAGAGCAAATTACCTACTGTTTTTCAAGAGCCAGATCACGTAAACTGTTAAGTCTGGCTACTGTAATATCAACGTCAGGTAAGATTACTCACCTTCATTTCTGCACTCATTTACATAATATTTTAATTACATACGGTATGTATCCTTACTAAAATTAAACATGGTTGTTGTAGTTGATGTTATAGTTTATGACTATACGCAATGCATGCATACAGAGCATGTGATCTCTGCTACGCCCAGATGTACAAAACAGACCCTCCCATTTCTGTAATAAACATGGAGATGTTAGTCCCGTCCGAATCGATACGTGGAATCATGGATGTCAGGTGATAAGATCTGTAACTCAAGCGTCATTTAGAAAATTAGTCCCGTCCGAATAGGGCTTTAGTCAGCTTATTTACCAGTCTTAAATATCATGCTCTGGGGAGATGAAATGACAGTATTCGCAATTAGGAAGAGCTAAAAAGGGACAAATTATTTCTGGAACTTGTTTATTGTGCAGTTGCCCTTTAAGAAGCATCTCACCTGTCTAACCAAACAAATATATGTGTCTCGAAAAAAGCAGGAGTGAAAAAACTCACTTGTAGAAGGCTTGATTTTCAACACCGCATTTCCAAAGGTGCTTGCAGGCCTCTGGAGTTGGTGCGAAGAATGTCAAGATGATCTTTTTGTCCTGTGCATAACAAGAAGTCATTAAACGTGCACTATTGCAGCACTGTCGTTGAAGGGAATTATTAAAGTTTCACAGACTGTGTCATTATCATAAGACAATTTGGTATATTGTAATTTTCTTCGACTTCACCAATGTTGGAGTAATTAATGTTCTCACCTCCTTCTGATTTGCATATATATGGAATGTCTTTCCTTCAAACTTCAGCTTGGTCACCTCGTGCCTGTTCAAGTGGAAGAAGAATACATATATTAGGTTATTATAATGTATATAAACTCAGAATGTTTATAATGTATATATAATATATAAATGCTATAAAAAATCAATATTATGTGGTTGTATAACTGTAAATTATGTAACTATAATATAATGATTATGAACAGAGAGAGATTACATGAATAATACATAAAAAATGATGTGATTTTTAATGTAACATCACTGACCATGTTGTTCTATCTATCTTTCTATCTATACATACATACATACACATATATATATATATATATAATAACACACACACATACTACTTATAGACAATGCTATTACAGTAAACAATTATCATGCATTATTCATGAAGTCTCATTCCAAAATGCATTAAATCAATTTAAGTTGACAAAATGTTTACAAACTGAATTACATGAGCTCATTATATTAATTAAAACGAACAAGCCATTTTTTCCAGTGCATCATGAAAAACTCTATAAATATATAGTATTCTGTTTTTGTTGTTTTTTCTCACAAATAAACACAAAGATGAAATAATTGCACTCTTTCTTCACTCTTACTTTATCTGTGAAGCATACATGCACTACAGCTTGAACCACATATAACGAGACCCTGAGACAAAGGACAGGCAGAACAATGGTTCAGTATTTTATGCATTTCTCTTTTCTTTGTATGGCCAGGCCTCACAGACTTGTTGTGTCCAGATGACTTCAAACATGCCCTCTGGATGGAGAGCAGGTGAAGGATAATTGGACACCTGTCTGCTCTAATGGCTCAGAAAGAGGCAGATGGCCGGGCCCTTTTGGCTGGGAACGTATAATACAATATAATAAAACCAGCTGTGACTTGTATACCCAGAGCCCGTCGCTAGGCGAGAATGACTCATTATTTTCAGCTTCACGATGCATGCATGCATGTCTGTGTTTACTCAGCCCCGAATACATCAATAGAAGTTCAGTAGGGAAAAGAGGCAAGTATTAGTCACTCACCACTTGAGGAAATTGACTCTCTTGTTCCCCTGAAGCACGACAAAACCGAACGGAGTGAAGGCGAGGAAAGCCGGGTTACCAGATACATCCTGTCATGAAGAGCGACAGAGGAGGACCACGTCACCTTCGTTTCTCAACAAGCAGACATTGAGTAGGAAGACTCGATACAGCACAGTACAGCAAGTGATCATAACAACAGAACCTTCATACTTTTGTTTTCAGGGTTACTTTATCTGACGTTCAGCAGCAAAATGGGTAGTCTTGGGCTTTTACTTGAGATTATACTGGCAATAGACGTTTCACAAACGAGTAAAAAAAAAAAAAAAACCTCACTGAAAGAACTAAGCGATATAGAGGATACTTTTTAGTACATTATTGTAATGGCCTTGATTCAAGCTGCAATTATCCCACTCATTATCCATAAATCTGCAGAATATATACATGGGTCAAAGACGTTAAGATGTTAGAAATTTACAAAAGTGATTTTATGTCCATAGAAAGCACATTAAATGCAAGTAAAATGTCTACATTTAAGGTTTCAAATAAGTTTTTGAAGAATAAAATGTCAAAATTTGGTTTAAATAATGTTCCATTGTCATTCAGTGTAACACTTATAGTTATGTAAAAATTCAAACAACATGCTTATTCTGACGTGTACATATTAAAATATATAAAAGAATAAGTGAGCATATTAAATTTTATTGGGTTTTAAATAAGAAAAAATTCTTACTGACAAATGGGCAAAACCTAGGATAGTGGCAAATTTTAAAAATGTAAAATAACAATTAATTAGTATTTGGGTCGAAAGTAATTAGTATTTTAATATGTCATAAATTGATTTTTATTGGAAATATGCCTGACAAGATTGTTACACTGAATGGCATTTTAGTGGGTGTCTTCTGTAAATCAGGGAAAAATGTATGATATTTTTGTTTTTGCTCAGAAAAACAAAAACAAAAATACAATTACATGAAACAGAAAACTTTTTTTTTTGTTTGGAAAAACAACAACAATTTAAAGCAGTATTGTTTTTATGCTTAAAACCTTTTTCGTCTTTGACCCACATACAAAGATTTAATGAAATCAACCACAGCATATATCAGTGGTTTTATACATGACATAATACATAAAACTACTGACTATAAATTCATGAACTAAATTAAGTCTGTGGCTATAAGCATTCATATATATGTTTGATGCTAAAAAAAAATTGTATATACACTGATGGTCAAAAGTTTGCAGTGGTAAGATTTTTGTCATGTTTCTGAAAGAAGTCTCTTATGCTCAATAAGTTGCTCATTTATTTGACTATTTATTAAGGCACACACACAAAAATGCAATCTTGTGCAATATTATTACATTTTGAAAAAAACTGTTTCTGTTTCAACATACTTTCAAATGTAATTTATTCCTGTGATGGCAAAGCTACATTTTCAGCAGCCATGACTTCAGTCTTCGAGATTACATCATCTTTCAGAAATCATTCAAATGTGCTGATTTGTAAATAAGAACACAATTCTTATTTACTATCAGTGTTGAAAACCGTTATGCTGCTTAAAATTTGGTGGAAACTGTGATAAAAACAACAAAAGAACAGCATTTATTTGAAATAGCAGTCCTTTGTAACAATGTCTTTATTGTGACTTTTAATCATTCAATCTCTCTTAAAGGGGTCATATGATGCGATTTCAATTTTTCCTTTCTCTTTGGAGTGTTACAAGCTCTTGGTGCATAAAGAAGATCTGTAAAGTTGCAAAGACTAAAGTCTCAAATCCAAAGAGATATTCTTTATAAAAGTTAAGAGTCAACCACGCCTACCTAAAACGCCTCGCTCTAACCCGCCCCACATGTCTACGTCACGATGTGGGAAGATTTGAATAACGTTTTGCCAAATGTTCACGCAAAGAAAGAAGGCGTAACTTTTATTCTCGCTGTAGTATTGTTGTTGCCTCCGCCGCCATGTCGTGAAGACGCTGTGCGTTTCGTTGTGAAAGCAAAACTACTTTGTTTGGTCTTCCAAAAGAGGACGATATCTGCTTCGTCATGCCTGGAGCTGATCCGTGCTGGTCGCTGAGGAAATACATCAACTTCGCGCTGTGGATTGCCGGATCGGCTTTCACCGTGGACGGTGCACCGCGTAAAAAGACAGTATAAGTCATTATAATCCGTAATTATGTCCCCACTGGATGCAACAAATGCCTCGTTTATAATGGGTTTTCATGTTTTTGTCTCGTCACTCCGGCCGGACAGGGCATCACAGTATGGTAAGGGGCGTAACATTTCCGTCACACACTTGAGGTATTCAGCCAATCACAACGCTCTGGATAGCTGGCCAATCAGAGCACACCTCGCTTTTCAGACCGATGAGCTTTGTAAAAATCGACGCGTTTCAGAAAGGTGGGGCATAGAGGAGAAACAATAATGTACATTGTGAGGAAAATAATGTGGTTTTTGAACCTTAAACCACATAAACACATTTCATTACACCAAATACACAAAATAATGTTCTTTTAAGCAACATCATATGACCCCTTTAAGGATTGTGAGTAATGAAGTACATCACCAGGAATTAATTTTTTTAGTTTTTTCATGAAAGTCATGAAATTGTACTGTCTGACATGACTTCTAGAGACTTGCAGCATCTGAATGGGAATCTTTTCTGTGTTTCCTGAACATTCTGACATTATGAAAGGGCTCTTGGTTCATAAAAGTTTGAGAAATTTTTACACAATATCTTTTGGATGCCATCTGTAAATGCGTCAGATAGAGCCAGCTAACCTTGCACGGATGAGGATCCACACCATATGTTTCAAGCATTTGTGCTTTCTGCAGGAACTTCAGCTCCGCTGTTTCTGGAGTTTGACCTCTGCAAAGCAACACATTAAAACACCGTCTGTGTCATTCAATGGTGAAACGACCACAGCAACAGCATAGCAGAGTCACCAATTACATTTCAGGACTAATACACTGGTGCCATTGGTATTGGACTGGATCCATATTCTTAGTGGTTTTTGTACTCAACATATCCTGCAAAGTGGAAAATCACTATAACATAAAAGGAAAAAATTGCATCTGTCTAGAAACATAATGCCAATTTGAATGTCAACAAATGCATCTATTTTGGCACTTTACACCTGAATGACTAGCGGCCACTAAACAGAAAGCAAAACCAAACCAACCAGACGGTTCAAGTATCATCACTCCAGGAAACCTCTTACCAATTCATGTTTTAATCAGCACTGTCCATTCAATGTAATGTAACAAGACCGTCTGGCTTGTATTTCAACACAAATCAGAGAAGAAAAGCAACCCCTAAGACTTAAAGGAAGCGGCTGCTTACAGACTCAAGGATTGATTTACCAGATCATTTTGAAAGATCTAAATAAGCAGCCTCTACATTTCCAACATAATTTCCACAATAACACTGATAGGACGGCTCTCAACACAGAACAGTAACACCACCAGAGGGCAGCAGTAATCATGCTCCTATTTGGTGGATCATCAAGTTTGGTGTGACCGTAGCTTCCTAAAAGTCTTATGTTCATGTGTTGTCCATTAAAGAATTGTCAAGAGCTTCTAAAGACAAATTACAACCTTGCAAGTAATTAATAGACTAAATCCAGCACTAAACCCATGATTGTTTGGCAGTTTATCAGCAAGGGCATTCAGTGAGCTAATTGGACTTGCTCATGTAAACATGGAGAGAAAGTGCTGCTTGCTTAGTGGTGGCCTACGGCTTTGACAGCAGATCTGACCAATAACAATGAGGGCCAAGATTTCACACTAATGTTACAGAATTGAACCTTATTGTAAAGTGTTACTGATTTTGTCACACAAAAATATCAGAACAAAGACAAGAAAAAATGTTAAACGAAATAATGAAATTATTTAAATTAGGACATGTACACTACGAAAATCTGTCACTAACCCTCATCACTCACAACAGTGAAGCACAGAAATGTACAAGCAGCAGACAGAAGGGAATTCTTAAGAGACGTTTCCATAATTCCTGAGCCATACGCAATGAACAAGGAGGGGAAAGGTTACACTTACATTAACTCTGTCTTGTGAATCTCTGCAATCCTTCTTTCCAGCTTCTCTGAGTGCTTGGGGAAGAACTGGAACTTGGAGCTGTAGCCCTCTGGATGCTTTCCTGGGTCATAGTCTCCAATCTCAGCTGCAAAGTAGTCATAAAAATCAATCTTTCATCATGCCACCATTCATAGAGTCCAACCTCAGCAGTAAAGCCGACACATAAATCAATCTTTCATCATTCAACCATGTCACTCAGATGCATTTTAGGGCATGTTAACGTGTTGTCTTAATAAACATCCTCTGTTAATGGAAGTGTTGGGAGCCATCTGTTCTCTTTGCAGGTACGATGTGGGGTTTTGTGGCATTTTCAATATGCCGTTTGCTTCTGCACTTGAAACCCATAAGCATCCCTGAGTCCTGACCATTGCTCTGTGCTCTGAGGTAATGGAACAGAGCATCTTTAATTCAAAAGTGTCGTCCAAAGCATGCCCCTGATCAACCTGTCAAAGAACATTACTGTGCATCCTGCCCTCAGAGACGCTATTTTCCCTTCTCATGTGACTGAATCTCAAACATCTCTGTAGATTAGAACTTGATTTGAGTTCATTCATTTATTTATACTAGGTTTCAAAATAATGTTGGAACTTCAAGGAAAAAAGTATGCAAATAAATTTTTTTTTTTTTTTTAAAGATTCCAAAAATGTATATTAGAAATAAATTCGATTTTGAAATTATGCAATAATTAAAATTAAATTATAATTTTGGGTCCTTAGAAGTACATACATGTACAGCATACACCACCATTCTAAAGTCTGGGGGCAGTATGCTCTCCAAAGTTTAATTTATTAGATCAAAAATACAGTAAAAACAGTAATATTGTAAAATGCAATAAAACTACTATTACAATTTAAAATAATTATTTTCTAAATCCATTTGTTTTAAATGTAATTTATTCCTGTGCTAACAAAACAGAATTTTCAGCTGCCTTAATTCCAATCTTTAGTGTCACATGATCCTTCAGAAATTATTCTAATATTCTGATTTGTGGCTCTACAACCATTTCTTATTATTAACAATGTTGAAAACAGTTGGGTTTCTTAATATTTCTGTGGAAACTATGATATATTTCTATTCACCATTTTGTTGAATAAAATAATCTTACTGACCCTAAACTTTTGAATGGTAGTCATCACGCAGCTTTTGTATTAGGTATTAATTTCTATATCTATTTCTATTTCTACTTTACCTTGCAAGATGTAAGCTGCCAACATGGCCGCTTCCGATGTTTTACAGAGGAGACGACCGTGGTACAGATCTCTTTTGATCTGCAGGAAGATGAGATACCTGCAACCAGGATATGGAGTGAGCACATGAAGACAAACATAGTGAGAAAATACCTCATGTATTCCATTGTCCTTCACATTTTTGTTTATGTAAATAAAATGTTAAACACCACAAATACCCATAAATAAGGTAACCAACTCGACCTCATCTTTACACGCAATAGTATCACAGATAACATCTTGGTCAAACCCTTGCATGTCTCAGATCATTATTACTTTTAATTTATATCTACCTTCTGCACCACCAACCCCTCTGCCAGTTTCGTTTAGACGAAACCTAAGGTCTCCTTCTCAACATTCCTCTGTGGTATCATCCTCTCTTCCCACCCCTGCACACTTCGCATCATTAGATGTGAATTGTGCCACAGATATGGTATTTTCTACCCTAACTAGCTGCCTAGACAATATCGGTCCTAATTCCTCCAGACAACACGTGCTACTCCCTCCAACCCCTGGTTAACTGATGTCCCCATAAGCATCGGACTAAACTCAGGGCAGCAGAGAGAAAATGGCGCAAATCAAAATATTCAGCTGATCTCAGTAGGTTATCAGTCACTGCTATCTTTATTTTCCACCAAAGTCTACGCTGCCAAAACTACCTTCTTCCATAACAAGATCAACAGCGCATCAGACACACGCAAACTCTTCAAAACATTCAATACTCTCCTTTGCCCCCCTCCGCCACCTCTTTAACTGCTGACGATTGGAGTCTGTCCTCGCTGCAGCCTGCAGCACGATGACGTAGCTGGACTATATCCACTACGTAGTGGATATTTTACGCGCATGCGCTGTAGGTCTCGAATAAATACATTTTATCATTTTGCAGACACTTTTATCCACAGCGACTTAGTCTAAGTGAAGTCTAACGCAGTACATGTAGCAGGGGTTTTTGACCTACATTACATATCTACACGATGACCTACATTACATTACAATGTAAAAACTTTAATGTCTAAATTAATCTGCAATGTTTTCGTCTATACCGGCAACTATCGCCAGGATGCACATCTATGGCAAGCCGTATTGAAAGAATTACATTTCCACTAGTAAAAATGTTAATTCTTGATATCAACAATTCAATTTTCACTAGTTAAAATGCTAATTCTTGATATCTGTAATTGTATTTTCACTACTTAAATGTCACCATAGGCTGCCATTCAAAATCAATTGAAATGTAATTGCTGATATCAAAAATAGCAATTGTTACTAGTAGAAATTTAATTCCTGATATCAAGAATTAACATTTTAACTAGTACAAATTTAACTGTTGATATCAAGAATTCATATCCTGAGAATGAACAAAAGTCAAAACGGCTTGCCATAGCACATCAGTGCTGTATCCATTATTATAAGGATACAACAAGCACTGTAACATGATTGATATGCAGACGTTGCACTGTAAATCAAAGAAATGTTTTATCAGTTGCTTTTCATACTATCGTCTGATACAACACTCAAAAAAGTCTCCCGAGAGAGAGAGAGAGCACTCTCGTAAGGGAATGGATGGATGTCTTTAGCCATTTATAATTGGTCTATCTATCTCCAGGGATTTCACTTGCATATAACACACAAAAAATAGAAATGGTCATCGTTGTGTTAATATGCCTTGTCCCCGACCGTGTGTGTATTTATTTGTTGGACATGGGATTAACTGTAAAAAACCCGGTATAACCCGGGATAACGGGTCTATCGGTTATACGGAACCCCGACTGACAGGATTGTTTTTCTTCTTTTTATTTTTATAAGGTATAAAAAATATGTCCGCATATTTTAGTAGGCCTATAACTTTTATACTCTGTCACGTATAGCACAGAGAGTGAGAACGAAAAATAATATTTGATTCATGAACGAATTATTGGCAGAACTGACTATCAGAGGAAAAAATAAACACAATAGTTACACCCCATTTTTTTCATAAAGAACAAACTAAATTGTAATTAGTAGGGTTTTATTTCTAAAACAAATCAAACTAATACAAAATAAACATAGCTTGCATACCAAACTCTTTCATTCAAAACTACGCCATCGTTGCTTAAATAAAGTTTGAATACACTACTAGTTTAAAATCAGAGTATAATATAATTTGTGTAAGCCTATGAAACGTACCTATACCTCCTAATTACAGTTTAATTGACATTAAATACTAGCTTCAATGACAGCCCCACTTTGCGCATGCGCATTAAAATCCAATGCTGCACATGCTCGTCAAACATCCAATACGTATTTAATCTGATCCAGCTATGTCATTGTGCTACAGGCTGCAGCGAGGACCTCTTGGACGATTTTGCTAATTACTTCATGAACAAAACCACATCCATCAGCAGTCAGTTCTCACTTCCACTCACCTAGGATCTCTCAGCAAACACGCACACAGCTGACCATCTTCTCCTTCTTTCCTCTTACAGAAGATGATGTCTCTTCTCTCCAGCCACCCTACCACCTGTCTTCTAGACCCAATCCCCTCACACCTGCTACAAGCTATTTCCCCTGCACATCTGCACACATCATCAACACGTCTCTTCTCACAGGCATTTTTCCTACCGTATTTAAGCAGGCTCGGGTAACCCCACTGCTTCAAAAAAACCTACACCTCATTTGTTGAAAGTTACAGGCCCGTGTCTCTCCTCCCTTTCATAGCAAAATCACTTGAACGCATTGTTTTCAACCAAGTGTCTTCCATCCTCTCACAGAACAACCAGCTTGACAATAACCGAACTGGATTTAAAAGTGACCATTCAACTAAAACCGCCTTGCTGTCAGTCATTGAAGCGCTACAGAGTCCAAATCTTCAGTTCTCATTCTCCTAGATCTATCTGCTGCATTTGACACTGTTAATCATCAAATCCTTCTGTCCACCCTCTTATCACTGGGCATCACTGGAACTGCACTCCACTGGTTTGAGTCTTACCTCACAGGTAGGTCCTTCAGGGTGGCTTGGGGAGGAGAGGTATCCAAAACACATCAACTGGTCACTGGGGTTCCTCAGGGATCAGTTCTGGGACCCCTCCTCTTCTCTATATACACTACATTACTGGGACCCATCATTCAGGTGAATGGTTTTTCCTATCATTGCTATGCTGACACGCAGCTCTACCTCTCATTTAAACCAATTGACTCAACGGTACCTGCTCAGATCTCAGACTACCTGACGGACATCTTGGCATGGATGAAAGAGCATCACCTGCAGCTCAAGCTGGCAAAGACAGAACTTCTCATCTTCCCAGCCACCCCTTCAGTACAGCACCAGTTTACCATCCAACTGGGCTCATCAACGATAATCCAATCGAGTTTGGCCAGGAATCTTGGGGTGATCCTTGATGATCAGCTGACCTTTAAAGATCACATTGCAAAAACAGCACGATCATGCGGGTTTGCACTATACAGCATCAGGAAAATCAGACCCTTCCTAATAGAGCATGCAACACAGCTTCTCGTCCATACCCTTGTCATTTCTAGGTTGGACTCTTGCAATGCTCTTCTGGCTGGACTTCCAATGTGTGCAATCAGACCTCTGCAAATGATTCAGAATGCAGCAGCACGTCTTGTTTTCAATGAGCCCAAGAGCCCATGTCACACCGCTTCTCATCTCTCTGAACTGGCTTCCAGTTGTGGCTCGCATCAAGTTTGAGATTGGTGCTTGCCTACAGAACTGCCAATGGCTCCGCACCCTCCAACCTCCACTCTCTCCTATGCATCTACACCAACCTCCAGAAGCCTGCGGTCGGTAAATGAGCGGCGGCTAGTGGTCCCATCGCAGAGAGGCACAAAATCACTCTCAAGGAAATTTTCTTTCACTCAAATTTTTCTTTCTTTCACATTGCTTATATTCCTCAACTGTAAGTCGCTATGGATAAAAAAGGCTGCCAAATTAATAAATGTAAATGTTCCACCATTTGTCTGTAACGATGAGGGCTGATAATGAAGGACACAGATGTGCAATGTGAAATTTCACAGTAGGAGAAAAAATATATGTGGATTTAAAACTCCCACAAAACATGCTGAATATTTCTCTTTGATTTGTTTAAATTGAGCTGTTTTCAGAGCAGGGAATAAATTGAGAACAGGATTGTTGTGAAGAGATACCTTAAAGCAGACTGCTGTGTCAAAAGCTGTCAAGTTGGGGAAAAGAGAGACTTCAGAAGTCAAAAACTGCAACACCCAAATGTCTTTGTCCCTGGACCCAACATCTGTCTCACAGTGATATAATGTTATAAACATAGATGCTACTTTTTATAATTATGGATTTAGAGCTCATAGATTACATTTTAAGGGGATGGAAAGAGTAAATTTAAAACATATTTACATACTGATTGCTTTATGTGATGAAAAACTTCAAAAGCCTCCTCATGCACCAATGTCACATTTTTTATTCATTAATCAATCCAGTCCCAATTTGGTACTTGGCTCTTCTCACCTTCAGTGCAACAGTTGTCCCATGAGTAAAGAGTGACATGCTTGTCTTTAACTTTTCAAATTAGGCCAGCCCTGCTAGAGCTAATAGCTTTTCGCTTAAGAGGCCATAGGAGCTAAAATTGCAATTATGTTCCCTGAATTCTCTCTTGGTGACAGAAGCTAAATGGCAATTTCTGTAGCCACCAGTCAATTTCTGGCCTACATATCGGCTTCCTTCTTTATCTGTAACCTGCCATTTATGGAAACACACTCTACGTGTCAGTGTAATTTGGTTCTGGAGAAGGACAGGCCAAATATAGGTACAGCTAAATGGCAAAGTATTGGGCTGAGATGCTTGTTTTTGCTTTGTGGAATATGCACTCTACTCAAGTTATTTTCCAATAATCTAAAAAACACAGAAATTGGATACATATTTCTAACAGGAAGATAATATTTAATATTAAAGGGGTCATATGATGCGATTTCAATTTTTCCTTTCGCTTTGAAGTTACAAGCTCTTGGTGCATAAAGAAGATCTGTAAAGTTGCAAAGACTACAGTCTCAAATCCAAAGAGATATTCTTTATAAAAGTTAAGAGTTAACCACTCCTACCTAAAACGGCTCGTTCTAACACGTCCCCACATATCTACGTCACTATGTGGGAAGATTTGCATAACGCCGCCCAAATGTTCACGCAAAGAAAGAAGGCGTAACTTTTATTCTCTCTGTAGTATTGTTGCTGCCGCCATGTCGTGAAGATGCTGTGTGCTTCGTTGTGAAAGCGAAACTACTTTGTTTGGTCTTCCAAAAGAGGACGATATCCGCTTCGTCATGCCTGGAGCTGATCTGTGCTGGTCGCTGAGGGAATACATCAACTTAGTGCTGTGGATCGCCGGATTGGCTTTCACCGTGGACGAAGCAGAGTCAAGCCCGGGGTCGTCACATGTGGTTGCCGCAAGCCCGCAGGACGCTCCTTTGTCGAATCCGCCGGCCGCGCCGTTTTAAAGGATTTGCCACTGATGATTCAAACGCGAGTTTTGGGCAGTGTAGAGTAGCGCTTGTAGTTTGTAATTTTTCCGATCACAAATGCAGACATGGTTTTAGGTTTACGCGGCGCGATGCAAGACCGTAATAAAATAGACAGTAAATCCGCATAAACACATTTCATTACACCAAATACACAAAATAATGTTCTTTTTAGCAGCATCATATGACCCCTTTAAATCATCTCATTATAGGGAGATATTATTTTTAAGTGTAATTTTTTTAAATGTAAAGGGTAAAACAAATTATATAAATATATTATATTAAATTATAATATATATATATATATATATATATATATATACAATGTTAAAGAATGAATGGAGCATGTGCTGCTTTGCTATTTTTTCTTAGAATGCAGCTTGGGCATGAGTGACTTGTTTGCCATGGAAATTACAATGCTAATGACAAATTTGTGCATGGTGTTGAGCAATAATCTCGTTTTAAGACCTGAGAATTTCCAAACATGGAAAGACTAAGCATGGATTTACAGTGGAATTATGAGTGGCAGAAGAAAGCGCAGAGAGACAGAAACACTTTTTTCTCCCACATATCCCAACAGCTGCGACACCCTTGCTTAAGGTGGATACATTTCTTTCTCTTACAGGGACTATGTTAATTCTTCCATTCACTCCAAATTATGTCTTTTTCCTTTCTAATCCTCTATTTCTCAGCCACATCCCTCATTAGTCTTTCTGCTCATTCTCTCTAACTGCCTCTCTCTCATATAATTTCCTGTCTTCAACTCTGTGTTCATCCTCTTGTTTCAAGTCTCTTTCCAGCTTCTCCTCTCATTTCAGCACAAGTTATTACTTTATGGTCCCCACAAGCATTTCATTTCACAGTACAGTAAACACTAACATCTCCCCCTACTCCACACATCAATCTATACCTGAACTACACATTTCCAGTGTATTTAATGTATGTTACTTATATGCACACCCTGTCATTAAAGTGGCCCCTCATTAGGTTACAAGAAGCACACAGTATCATAAGAACTCTTTTCAGGTCGAGTGTGTGAATTTCTGGGTGGCCTCATTGCAGACTGATTGAAAGGGGATGAAAGAGGTGGAGAGAGACACTGTGATGCCAGCCAAGACTTCGCTAGCTAGAGGCTAATCGTGTATCATTCAGAGGAATCTGTAAGGAGTCACTGACCATACATCGTCCCTTAGCAGTAAGTGAGAAACAGAAATATAGTGTCTGAGCTCTGAAAAATCAGACAACAAGCCCTTAGTACGTTCTGACTAGTTGTTAAGATATCAGACAAAACTGATATTTTCGGACAGGATCTGGTGTCTGGGGCTGGCATAGAGACTTGATCTAACAGTCACAGAGCTTATTTTCAGCAATAATCCAAAAGCCAATGGAAAAATCATTTTTGGTTTTTGGGCAAGGTAATTTGTGTGATGTTAACTTATGGGTTGGCCAACAAAAATACTGCACACTGCAGCACTCTATAGCAAACTGGCCATATTGGGCAAAAAGAAGCACCACCAGCAGAGCAAAGTCAAATGGCTTTCTGGTGCTGCCAAACATCTGTTGCCGTTTGGTTTGTAATGCTTAATCAAAGCAGATCTTTAGGCCTACACTTAAAGGAATCCTATCTTTTATGCGAGAAACTGAGCCAGCTCTGTAATCAGGTGCCATTTAATCACATGACTTAAATACTGAATGCAAAAAGCAGAATCCTTTCATTGTGGCAGCTCATACCTGGTGATCTCCTCCTTTAGAGCAGCAGGATCTGGTGGGTAGAACTTTACCCGCAGACACATGGTGAATGGAGGTTGTGCTGTGTGGAGAAAATTAACATGATTGAGAACCACTGCCTCAATCAGTAACTTAATCGGATTTAGTACTTGCTGCCTTAATATAATACATACGACATACTGTGTAGTGTAATGCCTTAATCTAAACACCTTTAAAACAAGTTTACTTGAGAAGCAAGGTTGCAATACATATTATATACTATTTTGCAATATGTATAAATATGCAATATACCGGTTTTCACAGAATATATCCAGAATTAAGTTCATATTTCTTATCCAACTGACCTTTTTTTTCCTGTTTTTTTAATGTAGATCTAACACAATTTTGAGATGTTTATCATTAAAATGGCTTTTTACATACACTGTAAAAATGCCATCTATGGTAACAATATTGCAATATTTTTTAATAGTTTTTAAGGCTTGATTTCTTTAATCGAATCTACCTGAATGAATCATGTAAAATCTCCTAAATTATTGAATCTATGGCACAATGAATTTAATATAACTAGTGAAATGTGCTCATTTATTTTAAGTTGATTCTCAAATGTCTGTGATTTTGAGTAAAGCCGGGAAACTGTAAAAAGTAGGTTGTTCTCTAATTTTGATCTCCACTGTATATTCTAATTTGTATACAGTACTTTGTACTTGTACTTCAATATTATAATAATGCTATTTTGGAGAATTAACACTAAAAATGAATTCATGCTGTTTATGCCCTATTTCAATTGGACCCCAAAGTACAAATTATGCAGGTCAAACAATTATACAAACAACTATACAATCTTTCAACAGATTACAGTTTCACATCTTGTGAAGTCATGACAATTGTGCTCTGTTTGTTATGAAAGTAACTTCAATGAGAAACTCCCCACTGTTTTATAATTTTAACAGTCTATTTCTAAGGCAAATATTTTTTTTTACTTTTAAGTAGCAAGTACAATTAAATGTGTATATATATATATATATATATATATAACTTATATATATTCATAATTGCTCCATTCTGGCAGCTAGCACACTATAAATAAGATCTGACTGATGATACTTACATTTCATCTGCTTAGAAATTGACTTGGTAAACTCCAGCCAGTGCTAAAACAACAGAGGAGAGAGTTTTAATTCCACACTTTCTCTCTCTCTCTCGCTCTCACACACACACACACACTGACAGACCACATGTACACACTTATTACATCTATATTTCATCTAACACATAATTACTGTACACAGGAGCAGGTGGTCAGTGTGGGTAGATGTACAGATATTTTATATCAGTGTGAGATGGGGGCAGGGTAGATATATTAATAATTTCATCTCATTTCTTTCTTCTCCAGTGCGAAACATTAGCACATCTTCGACGTCATGCTGAGATTCTATCACTGCTATTGTATGCAGCCTCAGATAAGACAAATCAGCCAAACTGAGCCATTGGATTTGAGAAAAAGTATATTTGGGTCTTAGTGCCAGTAGGCTAATGTCTAGAAATAGCATCAGACTGGATTTGATTTCAGATTATAGTGATCTGGAAAGCTTTTTGGGCAAAATTTCTCAGACACATTATTGTATTGTCAGCTAATCTGTGCTATATTTTGCCAACTAGGAATATACTAAAGGGAACTGTGGGCACTCAGTAGACGCTAAGGTTGTCCCAGTGTGTCGTCTACAGAAGACTAGCATCAGTTAGATGCTCTCATTATTATTTATGTCACTCAATGCGAGAAGCTACCAAAGGGGGTCAGTCAAAAAGACAGACAGGAAGAAACTCTAAAGTATGTGTACGTAAAGCTTGTGCACTGCCAGTGAACACAGATCAGCACAGATCTCTAATTCTAGAGATAGACTGTATTTCCTTACAGGAGCTATACAGAATGTTCATCTAGAATCTTAAGATTTTTATATAATTCAATATTTTTTTTATTACAATTTTAAATATACATTTCATATTTACAAAAATGTAAACCTTTAACAATTTTTTAATATAAAATGTATTTTTAACATTTGAAACAGTGTTGTTATTGTTAACTAAAGCTATAAAAAAGCATTTTCATTAATTGAAATAAAGCTGAAATAAAATATTAGATTATACAAATATTGATTAAATAAACAAGTATTAGATGAAAAACGTTAATCCTAAATAAAAAAAAGTAGAAATTAGAAATGTTGCCTTGGCAACTAACTGATAAAAAATAAGTTGATGTACTAAAATTGCTATATATAAAACTAAAATAAAAATAGTAGGCTAAACAGAAATTCCAAGTATTTAAACATTGAATTTTTTTGTTAATAAAAAATGTCTTGTTTTAAGCAGTGTTGTTATTGTTAACTAAAACAATTAAAATAAATTCTGTTAATTGAAATAAACCTGAACTAAAATAGAATATTAGATCATACAAATATTAAATTAAATAAACGAATATTAGATAAAAAAAACTAAAACTCAAATAAAAATGATTTAAAAATAAATAGAAATATTAAAACTTGTAAAAATGATAAAAAAGCATAAAAATAATGAAATACAATTTAAATAAAAACTAAAACTATAAGAGCTAATTCAAAATATGAATAAACTCTGAGATAGTATATAATAATACTAAAATAAAATGTATTTAAATACAGATGTTTTAGCTAGTCTTTCACAATGATACAACCACTGTCTATATTAATACAGTATTTTGTGATCAGCAGCAGTACAGAAACCACAAAGAACAATCCTAGTACCTATAACAGCATTTCTAAACCTAATTAGATTTATTTGATATTTACATCTTGGAAGCAAAGTGGCAATTCTACATGTTTACACATACTGATATTGATTACATGAAATATGGATGGCATTTTCTCTCAATTTAGGGCCATTGGAACACTAGTACGTTCCTCACACAAAGCTACTGTATCATATGCCTTCAGAAAACTAAGTTCATATAGACTTCACTGCACTGAAATTAACACGGAGAACATGCTCTCCATTTGTTTATTGCAAATAAAAGTACATTATACATGTTTGTAAGAACATGACGGTTAGTAAATAATGGCAGAGTCTTTATTTGTGTAACTGGCCCTTTAAAGAAAAAAACTATTAATCTGAGCCACATAATGGTCTGAGGGCCTTCACTCGTGTGATTTACAGTTTTCAAACATGTCCTTCTACAAGGTTCATTCCACCAATCATCAGCTCTGTCTCTTTCAGTGACACTCCCTGATTACTCCTGAATGACCCTCAAAGTCAGTCTGACCGGTGCAGGATCAATACAAACATAGCCCACCCATAATGCACATGAATTCATCACTTATTAGGTATCACAAACAACATGCTCTAAGAAATGAAAGCCACTTCAAGGATCCTGACAGATGAGCTTTCTCATAATAAAGAAGTTATGGATGTGTATGCTGAGATGATTGGTGCTCTGCATTACCGTTGACCTTGGACTGTTCGACACAAGCCACATGGTGGGACACTCACCCGTTGCTTATCCGGATCGACATATCTAATGCCAAAATAGTCTTTCTCCAGTAGGTTTAGATGGTGGCAAATGAGGTCGAACAAATACTGGCCTTTGGCATCCCTCTGAAAGATAAAGAGAATAACAAATGATCAATAGAGAAGATGATTATCATTTGTTTGGGCATGTTGTTTATTTTTGATCCAAAGAAAAAAGGTGGAAGAACTGAAGAAGACCAGCCAAATAAAACTAAAATTTAGTGAACTGAGGAAAGCAGGGGATATTAATTACTATTACTCTGATAACAATTCCTTTGGAGAGATTCTGTATATCCAATATTAATGCAGAGAGATTTGCAATTTCCATTTCTCTTCCATGACCTTTTGTAGTCATATAATATAGAATTTATTTAAATAATTCCGGAGACTGTAGGGATGAATTTCTACTTGTATGCCAGGTAACAAACAGACGTAAGCATTATTAGTGTACAAATGTCTCCAATAAAAACCACAACAAACAGACTGATTTTATCACAGTGATATGCAGCATGTTTTACTCCACAAATGCATCATCTAACTGATTAAATATTTTAAAGCAGAGCAAAGCTAGAAACATTTCTATTCCCTATAGTAATTTTCATGAGTTTTTAAATGTATATTTTCCAAGCCTGGAAATCACACATGACAGAAACCTGAGAGTCTGTCATTATTTCTATGTCATTATTTCTATCATTATTTTGTTATTCTTAATAGGTCATTTGCAATAGCACACAAATTCTACAATGTTTTCATAGTCCGACTGTATTTGTCTAGGCTGCAGTCTAAACTACTCCATATCCGTGTACCAGTTCAACTCTTCATACAGAGAAAATGAGCTGGGAGAAAAAAATAAGATTCCATAAACCTGAAGTCACTTTTTCTCTCTCACCCCACCTCTATTATCACACTCATTAGAATTCGGAATCCATTTTCCCTCAAACAAACAATATCACAGCTTTACGCTGTAGCAGTATTTTTTTTTTCTGGAATTAAAGATTCCTAAATGCATCTACTTTCGAAAGGCCAAATAAAGTGCTTTTGCTTTCACCTAGAAACACACAGCGTCTGACATGGCTGCTTCAACACTAACTGCGGTTACTGAAACCACGCCTTCTTTCTTTGCATGCACATTTGGGCCGCATTATGCTAATATTGCCACACAGTGAGGTAGATATGTGGGGGCATGTTAGAACGAGCCGTTTTAGGGGGGCGTGGCAGAGTCTTAACTTTGATAAAGAATATCTCTTTGGTTTTGAGACTTTAGTCTTTGCAACTTCAGGGATCTTATCTATGCACAATCAGCTTGTAACACTCCAAAGAGAAAGGAAAACTTGAAATCGCATCATATGACCCCTTTAAGGCTACTGTATATTGCTGCTGCCACACAGATAAACAAGCAATTTATTTCCCAGCTGTTTACCTTCACAGACATAACCGACTGCTTTTGTAACTCGTTTGTTTTTAACTTAAACTTAGTACTCATATGCTGTGACAGCCGCTTTCTGTCCATGTGCTTCGGATGTCTGCGCTCAGAAAACCTTATATCTGAAGTTTAAACTCATATGGTTTAAAACGCATGATTTCAGCACGATAAACATGATAATCAGAACCAAAACAGATGTTTTTAGCAGATACCAGCTGTAAAGGCGCAGCTCTATTCTGGAAAAGGGGGCGGGGAGCAGCAGCTCATTTGCATTTAAAGACACAGGCCCGAAAAACAGCGTGTTTCTGCTTCCACTCAAAATAGGCATTTTCTAAATTATATAATAAATGATCTGTGGAGTATTTTGAGCTGAAACTTCACAGACACATTCTGGGGACACCAGAGACTTATATTACATATTGTAAAAAGGGGCATAATATGTCACCTTTAACTGAAAACAGGCTAGACTAATCGATTTTTGGGATTTAAGAATCGATATAGTTCCGTAAAAATGAGAATCGATTAATATCAAGATATCGATCTTTTTTACCCAGCCCTACTTAAGAGATTCTTTCACTCACACACACACACGTATACAGGAATGGAAAACATACACTGAGGAGAACATACACATTCTGCATCTCACAAAAAAAAAAAAATCCAGTTCTCATCTCAAGTTCTCTGCATGACAATTATGAAAATCTTTTAGTAGAAAACTTTTATGGTTCTATTTCGGGTAAATGAGCAGATGGAGGGCAGTGAACCGTGAGCGCATGCGTCTGCCTGATGCCAAATAGAACATTCTGTGGGTGCCTAGAGATGGCTGGATGTCTGTGAAACACACAGCCTTCACGCAGGACTGCTGGAACCCAATAAGACTGCCAAAGGGGACAAAACAGGAGAAAGACGTGCCCCTATTTGAGAACAGGTCAGACCACCCCCACAGAGATGCAGAGATGTGCAAATCTCAGCAAGCAGATAAGGTGAATCTTTATTATTACCACCAATGTGAGTATTAATAATAAAAAGAATAATAACAATAATAATATTATTATTATGCCATGATTATTTATTATTATTATTTTTATATAATATTTTTGTTATTTATACATTAAATCAAATTATTATTATTATTGTTGTTATTGTTATATAGCACCTTTTTAGACTATATAATAACAAGCATTCATAAAAAAATAAAGTAATAATAATAAATATTACTACTACTACTACTACTACTACCATTTATTATTATTGTTATTATTATTATTATTATTATCTGACATGATTACAATATTTATAAATTAAATCTAATTATTATTATTATTATTATTATTATATTAACATTTATTATAATCAAATTAAATTGTTTACATTATTGTTAATAAACTATTATTATTATTAGGGCTGCACGATAAATCGCATGCGATATTTAACGCGCATCTTGTCAGAAAGCCGGTTCTGTAATCAGCGGTAAATCTCCATCACCTGCGGGCTTTCA